AAAGATAATAAGGTAAAAATGAATAATAATATAAAATATTGTCGTAACTTAACCGTGACCACACAAACAAAAAAGCACGAGAAAATATCGAAAATAAAAGGGCTGACAATCTTTGTCCCTTTCTTTATCTCTTTCTTAGGCCCAATTCTTATCCTCGCTTGCCTGCCTCGATAAAATGAACTAGCCTAGTCATTTTGGCCCACATTTGATTCCCATCCTTGACATCAAAACATATTCAATAAAAAAAATTACCCAAATAACAGAATTTCATTCCCGATTCAAACCATATTGACCCGTTTGATTGGTTTCGACTAAGAAAAAAAGTCAAACAATTTGAAAACCGAACTAAATCAAATTACTTTTGGTTCAATGTGAACAACTCTCGGATTAATGCTACTGGAAATATAGGTGCATGAGGAGTTCTTAGAGATAACATCGATGAATGGCTTGGCAGGTTCTCTGTCAACTTGAGCAAAGGGCAGGTGGTTGATGCTGAAATTTGGGACTATATTTCGGATTGAAACTTGTAGTTCACAAGCAAGATTATGTGTGGAGATGGATACTGGTCGAATGGTTAATTTAATTGATAATATGACTGATATCAGCTTGCATTCTCTTGCAACCATCATTGATTAATGTAGACTACTTATGACATGCATAGCTGAATGTGAGCTAGTACATGACTTCTGAGAGAATAATATGGTGGCAGATGGCGTTGCCAAGTGAAGTTATAATATGGATCTTGAGTACCATTATTTTAAGAATCCTTCTGATTGGATTGGATTTGAACTCAATTATTTGATGATATGATGGGACTCCCTAAACTTGAACTATCTGCGATAACTTTGAGCTGGTTTTTGGGATGATCCACCTCCTTATGTTTAAAAAAAAAAAAAGAAAAAAAAAAAAAAAAGCCTTATTTAAAGTCGAAATTTTCCAAATGCAAAGAGTCCTTCATTTAAAGGAGCAAAACAATTTTACCATGCACATTTCGTCTACATAAAATTTCAAGCCCAACTACAAACCTGGTTTAATATCGTAGGAAATAAGTTGAAAAGGTATGAGAAAGCATGCTCACAACAACAGACTTAATCAAAGTAACACAACCAACCATTGAGAAAAAATGACCTTGCCATTGAAACATTCGAGAACATATTTTATTTACAAAAGCTTGAAAATATTCCCTCTTAGGTTTGACTTTAAGTATAGGAACCCTCGAATAAATAAAAGAAAGCTCATCGGCAAATACACCAAGCCAGGATAAAATAAGAGCACGACGCATGGATGCAGATTCCCAACATAAAAACGGAACTTAGCCTTACTAATAAGTTGGCCATAATTTACACCATATTCTTCAGTATAATGCATAAGAGGTTTGCGCATGTCACCTCTGCAGAAAAACCATAACGTCATCTACATAGAGAATATGAGAAAGAGCAGTTACTCCATGAGGGGAAGAAATCAGTTTGAGCTTCCTTAAATTTACAGATCCACAAGGCCTCGACTAAGAACCTCTTCAGGAAGGCAAAAAATAAAAGGGGATAGAGGGTCCCCTTGGCGAACACCCACACTACATTAAAAAAAATAACCGGAGAACCATTGAATAAAATAGACAATAGAGCAGGAGTAAGGATTGCACGAATCCACTAAACAAACGTGACATGAAAACCAGAAGCTGTAAGCACTAGATCAAGAAATTTCTAGTTGAGAGTATCAAAAGTTTTAACAACATCAAACTTAATAATGATATTACCCCCAAACACTTATTGTCTAATAAATTAACACACTGAAGGGGCAACAAAATACAATCTGAAATATGCCTGCCATTGGGAAACGTATATTGATTCGGCAAAATAGTTCAACCTGTCACATGAGCAAGTCTATGTAACATCCCACATTATTTAGGGGAGTGGATCCTATAAGCCTTATATGTATATTTTCATATCTACCTAGCACGAAGTCTTTTGGAAGCTCATTGGCATCGGGTTCCATCAGAACTCCGAAGTTAAGTAAGAAAGGGGCCAGAGCATTCCTATGATGGGTGACCCATTAGTAAGTTTTACTCGCGTGAGTTCCTAAAAACAAAACCGTGGTAATAAATTTTTTAGTTGAGAGACCATAAATGCACGTTTTGATGAGTCAAGGGACTAATGATAATGTATTTTTAGTTGAGGAATTATTACTCCAATTGAGTTAAAGTTAAGAGATCATTGCTACAATTTACTCTTACTTCAATTATTAAATTAACAGGGTTAGTGTCGTCGTAAGGACCTAAACAAGAGGGCTTTTTTTAATCTCCCCCTACATTCTCGTTCATTTCTTCCTACCCTCCGCTCTTTATCCACGATCCACTTTCATCCTTCCCATTCCTTCATATTCCTCCCTTCTCTCTATGGAGGGAACCAAAAAAAAAAAAAAAAAAAAAAAAAAAAAAACTAGAACTAAAAAGTAAATTCATAGTTATCAAATGATCCCATAAAATTTCAATATTATACATAAAATATGTTTGGAAAAACGTAATGAGTTTAAAGACGTTTTTCTTCAATTGCACATTGAACTAATGAATGGTCAATAGCCCGTTTGATTTTTTCGGAATTAATTTTTGGTTTTTACTTATTGTGTGGTTGATAGAAGAGAAATACATGGAAGTTAAGAGGGATGAACATAGTGGATAGAGAAGAAATGTTACGCTAGATAACTATTTCGGTTTTAGTTTTTTTTTATTTTTTTTATTTTTTAAATTGAAATCTTGTTTGATAACTAGTTTCAGTTTTCTTTGATTTTTCACTTTTTAATTTTTCAGTTTTTAAAAAGAGTGAAAACTAAAAGCTAAAAATTAAAAACAAAATGGTTATCAAACAACTCATAATTTAAGTTGTTTTTCACTTTTAAGATATTATTTTCATTAATTTGTGCTTATTTATTCTCCTCTCTCCAATTCTCCTTATTCATCCCTTATTTCTCTTGTATACTTCTCTCATATCTTAAGCCAAGAAAAAATAAATTGTCAACTAAAATTGAAATAGTTATCAAACATATCTTAAATTGTGTTCAACCCAAATTAGAGAAACTAACAAACTATGAATGTGTTGCTTAATGCTTACATTAATCAAGTGATTGTTTGTAATTGAGGCAAACCAGCCATAAACCATAAAAATAAAGACATAATTGTAGTGAAAGTTTTAGGTTCTTGGTGGTCCACACACCATGAAGTTACTGGTTGTATCTAGAACCAATAACCCTAACATAGGAGGAGCATTAATTTGCGCTTGAGACATTAAAAAGTCAATCATCATCTTTCATATGTGATTAGTGTGGCTTGATCAGTCGGATTACCGAACCCACTTCCACTTTAGCATTTTAGCTAAGATTTAATAATTAATTTTATGGCATAAGTTAAGATAAATGGTGTGTCACCTAATCACACACATCTAGTACTAATAAAGGAAGATCATTGGCATTTGGGCGGAGCCACGTGTAAAACGTCAACTGATGTTCTTCTGAGAAAATTTTTAGTATGACCGTCACACAAGATGATACATCACGTATAGTTATATAAATGGTGAGATATATATGTTAAAAAGTTAATAACTTAAAAATAAAATTTTTTACTACTTACAGAAAAACACATGATGTATTACCCGTGTTTCCATCACAACTAAAAACTTCTCTGTTCTTCGCAACCCCAATAATTGGACACCTAGTGCTGGGCGTGATCCTAACCAGGATCAGAATAACGAGGTACAATAATTACAGCCACTGAATGCCAGAATCCAGAAACAATAAATTCTGGTGATTGCTATGCCACCTGGCAATCATGCATGCAAAGATCTTTAACTGCCAACGATTTTATTTGGGAAGAGTACTCGTATTTTAAAATTTTTATTTTACATTTATATTTTTTAAATATAAAAAATTAAAAATACATAATAAAATATTTAAAGTGTTAATAATAATTTATTTTTACTTTGCCGGGTCAATAATTGTGTACAAGGATCGACCGAAACAACAAGAACAGAAAACACGTTGGTGTCGGAGGTTGTATGGAAGAAGAGAATACTAAAGTGATTCTTATAAAAATAAATATCCTATAATATTAATATGAAAATTATTATTAAACAGTAAAATAATAAAAAATTTATATAAAAATCACATTTCGAAAGAATCTTTTTAGTATTTTTTATGGAAGAAAGTTTTGTTGAGACGAGACACTGGGCGTGTTTTGCATCACACCGTCCAAGTATCTCGACGCGGAACCTACCCATCGTTCGTACGCGTTTGGCGAGTTAGATGAAAACATTCGACGACAGCCTGCTAAATGTATGCCGTTTACTCTAACATTTCCGTCCCATCAAGCACCCGCAACGTCAGCACACATAGTATTGTAATGTGTGCACGCTGACATTTGCTTGTTCAAAGTTCCAACACGGCAATAGCAACTTATTTCCTAAATTACCCTCTGCTCAAGTATAAATTGCATGGAACATTATCGTCGCTCACTGTTCTAATTTAAAGATGTATTGTCTCCCCATGTAACAAGTATTAGTGGATCAAAACGTTACACTAAATAAAAAATTGGATGTAATTTATAACTGACGGGTTAATTAAATTGAGTTCAAATAATGAGATGGATATTGAAAAGATTGCAATTTTTTTTTTTGTTAGTTTGAACTGTTTTCAAAGACTGATCTAAATCTTTAGAGCTAAATTAGTTGTTTAGTATTTTTTATTTTTTTTCCTTCTTTCGTGTTAAAAAAAAAAAAAAAACTGCTTATTATCTGCATAGCATTGGGAAAACTGAAAAGTCAACTCGGCTAGCAACAGCTTATTCGTGCTGGAGTCCAGAGAGGGAATGAAGGGCATTTGAGTAATATCGAGGAAACATCCCAAAGGTCACGCGGTAACCGGTTTCGCCAAATCACCCGACCATATATATACCGGTTCAGCCACAACTCCCCCGATTTTTGCTGATTCAGCGAAAGAAAAGGAAAAACGAACCGAAAGTGCGAAAATATTTTCCAGAAACCGCGGGAAAAAAAAAAAAAAAAAGTTATCGGATTCTCTTCCTCCTCGTCTCCGTCGTCTCCGTCGTTGGTTGTCGAAGTTTTGTTCGAGTTTAACAACGTTGTGGGATCGTGATATTTTCTGGGGGTGTTTGTTTGCGTGGCATGATTTGATAGAAAATGGTGGCAGAAGCTAAGGTTGTGTGTCAGCAGAGCGTGCCGGTGCTGGATGTTCAGTACTTTACCAAAAATGTTCACGAAGTTGAAGATGTAGTTGCAGTTACCCAATCGATTTCGTCGCCCAAGAGTTTTGACCGGAATCTTTCTTCGGAACCGGTCTCCGCCGCCGCTCTCTTTAGCTCGCAAGCCGTCGTGAGTTTTCTGAACCTCAAGTTCCCTGCTTTTGGACTATTTAATCTTTTGGTTGTTAAACTCCATGTGGGTTTGTTTGTTTTTACTTTTTAGGTGATCATGCATCTGGGTTTTGAAATTTGATGATTTGGGATCTGACTTTTCGAAATTGGGTTTTTTGCTTACTGAGAAATTCTGCTATCACATATGAGAAATTAGGATTGTATTGTGTTCAACTGTTCTAAAAATCCCAACTAGAACTACCGTCCCGATTAATGCCTAGCTTTTTTAAAATTAAAGAAGAACGCTTTGACCTAGACCCCTAGATCGCCTAGGGACCCATCCAGACATGTTAGGAACCCGCTGGGCACCCATCTAGACACTCTAGGCATCCGTCTAGGTTGTGATTCATTTAGATGAAAAATAGATAACTTTTATTTTGTATTTTATTTTTCTTAATAAATTGTAAGAAACTTGTTGAATGCTTAAATGAACACACATTATAAGCTTATTTCCCATGTTTTTATTGTGTTCCAATACATCATAGTATATATGTCATTCTATTTGGTAGTTTATGATGAAATTATATATATTTTAAGTATAAATGATACTTATTTACACAAAATATAATAGATTTACTTAAATCTACCTAGCCGCCTAGGCGTTAGGCTCCAGCCCGTTGCCTGATTAGTGCCTAACGTGTTTTAGAATCTTTCATCAAAACATTGGTTGAGTTTTGATGTAGATGAAATTGTAGTCAATTTCTAGTCTAATAAGGCGGGACTTTTGGTAACCTTGATGTGATGATATTATCACTGCTTTAAGTATATTTGTGAGCATAGAACTATCAGATCGTTGTCAAACTTATCCGTTATGAATTGCCTAGTAAATTGAAAATATGACCTGTATAAAATTAAGTTTGCAAAAGCTCGGGAGGTTGTTGTGGTTTAGTACGTTCTCTTCATATATGTCGTATGCCTTGGAACTTCAGCAGGGTAAATTGTTGCTCATTAACAACTATGCTTGCAAGCAGGATTAGTAGTTTTTTTGTTTCAATTGAAATATTGGCGTTTAATTTCTCTGTCATTACTCCTTTTCAGGATGCTAAGCCTGTGGACAAAATTCCAGATTTGGTTCCTGCCTCGGCCGACCAGCAATTCTTCCCCAAGCTGCGTTCTGGTAGCTTTGCTGACATTGGACCCCGTAGATACATGGAAGATGAACATATTCTAATAGATGATCTATCTTCACACTTGGGACCACTCTTTAGTTTTGCTAAGCCAAATGCATTTTATGGGGTAATATATCGCCTTGGACTTGTAATTGCAATGGCCTTGAATTTGGTTGATTCTTTGTTTGGAGCTTACTGTGGTTGAAAATGTCATATAGGTATTTGATGGACATGGAGGACCTGAAGCAGCTGCTTATGTCCGGAAAAATGTGCTCAGACTCTTTTTTGAAGATGCCAATTTTCCCCGAACTTCTGACGTTGATGAAATTTTCTCAGAGAAGCTTGAGAACTCCCTCCGCAAGGCATTTCATGTGGTTGACCTTGCTTTGGCTGATGACTGCAGTGTAAGCAGTTCTTCGGGGACAACAGCATTAACTGCTATGATATTTGGAAGGTATACTTCTGCTTAAAATCTTTTTCCACTCTTTCCACTGAAAAAAAGGACCTGGTTTCCTTGTCGTAACTAGACTTCACTTCCAAAATTTACCATTGACTAGTATTTTCTTCTATCCACAAAATTATGTGGCAATGTTTTACCCTTTCGAAACTAGTAGGTCTTGTATGATTGGTCAACCTGTTGCGTTGATTTAAGCTATCCCGAGTGAGATTTATCTTAGTTGTTACAGACCTTGTTAGTGTTGGCATTTGTCTCTCTCTGTCTCTGTCCATGCTATATTTTTTAGTCTCTCATTGTAATTGACCTTCTCCAGGCTTTTAATGGTGGCCAATGCTGGGGACTGCCGAGCAGTACTCTGTCGGAAAGGAGAAGCCATTGATATGTCTCAAGACCACAGGCCAATATATCCCTCAGAAAGGAGGCGGATAGAAGAATTAGGTGGATATGTTGATGATGGGTATCTGAACGGTGTCTTATCAGTTACCCGAGCATTAGGCGACTGGGACATGAAGTTTCCTCGTGGATCTTCTTCACCCCTAATCGCCGAGCCCGAGTTCCGGCAGGTGGTTTTAACAGAGGATGACGAGTTTCTAATTATAGGGTGTGATGGGATTTGGGATGTGATGTCTAGTCAGCATGCTGTTAGCCTTGTTCGCCGCGGGCTGAGGCGTCATGACGACCCCGAGCAGTGTGCCAGGGACCTTGTCATGGAGGCTCTTCGCCTCAACACGTTTGATAACCTCACGGTGATCGTTGTATGCTTCTCCCCCCTTGAGCACCGGGATCTATCGCCACAGCGAGAACGGAGATTAAGGTGCTGCAGCCTCTCTGCTGAGGCCCTTTGTAGCTTGAGGGCCTTGTTGGACAGTAGTGCCAGTAGCTGATTGTACATGCAGTTTTTCAGTAAGGGTCTTCCTCGTAAGCGACCATACATTGTTTCGGCTGCTTCAGTCGCGAGATAAAAAAGCAGCTAGCAGTTTTGTAGGTGTTTGGATTACTCGTGTATACCTCGGTGAATTCAGGGTTGATGTACATACATAAGAAAGGGGGTGTGGATCGGATGGCGTAGTGTTGTAAAAAGATGCATGTTGTTGATACATTCTTTCTTTTAGTTAGTCCAGTGTGATTGTATTGTCCATCCGCTGTAGCCCTTTTCTAATCCGGTCATGTGTATTTATGTATATTAGTGGGATCTTCATTTTCATTTTTCTTTCTTTCTTTCTCGAGTGTGCTTTTTCCTTTTGGCACTTGGTTATCAACAAATAACGCACTAGTTATTCACAGCATTTGACAGACGCTTGTCTGGACCAGTCAGTAGTATTGGAAATTGACAGTCATGATTGAATTGGGAAATGCGACGAATCCCTGGTTGAATTTAGAAAATGCGAAGAATCCCTGATTGAATTGAGAAAATGCGACGAATCCCTGACGACGCTGTGTAAATTGATTGAGATCACAAAACATTCTCAATATTAGGAGTGGCGCAAGAACACTGTGTGTGTGCGTGTGCATGTGTGTGTGTGAGAGAGAGAGAGAGAGAGCAGTAGTATTTCATTGGTTACCAATTCAAGCAAAAAGTTGAGGTTATATGAATAATTTCTTCATTCTTTGCCTTTGGGAAGAAGTAACTTACAAGAGGGAAAAGCCAGCCTCAGAGAAGCTGGTCGTTGGACCCAAATGGTATAAATATCAAACAATGCTTCAGTGGGAAAATCACGCGGTAAGATGCAGTGGTTACTCGTTTAAAATATCAAACGGGTGAGTCTGTTTTGTAGGTTCTTGCAAATGTCGCAAACCTTTCCAAGCCACGTCCAAGTAAATTTTCAAGAAATGGTTGAAGCGCCTGGAGGATTCACATCAGAAATCAAAGTAATGATGGATTACTACACCCCCACCGTAAAGTAAACAACATTGCAATTGAAAAACATCTCTACATTTTTTGACTGACTTGGATCTGGATAGGGTCTCCGGACAGGAGAATGTATAATATCTTAAGCACAGAGTTAGAATACTTACTGATGCCACTGGAGACAGAATTGGCGGAACTTCATATGACACCGTTAGCTGCAATTGAAAATTGATAAGAGCAATATGAGCAATACAATGTGAAAAATGAGAAGCAAAAATGGCCGTTTCCTAGATATGGGAAGCCTGGAACAGGAAATCCTGTCAACAGGAATTATTTTGCATTTTACCAATCCAATCAAGATGCGTTTATGCTGTTCAATTGATGGCCAAGGAATGACGAAAAGTTGTAAAATAATCAAATTGACGACGACTGATCACCCCTCGCGAGGCACCAATTGGATGTCTTGATCATACCAAGTGAATAAAGATGTAGAACACTACGAAATAAGAATTGCTAAAAATTGAAGTTCAATATATGACAGAAACCTCACTTCTACGAAGCATGATGAAGGACCTTTTGGATAGAACCTAACAGCACCTCTGCAGATACAAAAAGTAAAACAGTTTATCAAGATTACAGTATCAATATAAAGCAAAGGAAAGCGTCTGCTTGATTTGCATACAACATACAATCACTAGTTAAACATTATATTTGTGCATGTTGTAGGTTTGTAACCTCAATGACATGAGCATCATTTTGTTTGTGATACACTACAGAGTGGCTTCCAGACAATTCAAAACAAGATATATTGAACATTTTTCACTGTTTTCTCAATTACTCATTTGCATCCTATGAAATGCAGCTTCCACTTAAGATGACAAAAGACTAACATCCCGTCCTTTAGTTGTGCTAGGGATTGAACCGCTAAGCTTCTAGTTTTCTATGTACCAACGCAGAAACCACATATATGACTAAAATTTTATGGGTAATTGTTTTTATTTGTTGAGTTATCATATTTTCCATGGTAAATCTTAAACAATGACTAACATATAAGCTCTAGGATGACAGTGTACAAGTACCGCTGTTAGACAAATCCCGGTAACTGTAAGTAAGTGCTTGAAATGCACTCTTGTCAAATGCTTCATTTAAAGTAAAGAGTTTGGGCAAAAACGCTACTAAAGTACACAGCTTCTGCTAAAATATCTCGTCTTCTGACCTGTTAGGAAGACCTTCTAGAGATCTCCAGTGGATTTTCTGATTTGGTGTAGGCTGCATGAATTGTAAGGACACATCATTGAACTCAGCTCTTACAGTAGATGAAGGAATTACGGAAGGAAAAACAGATTTTAAGTAAAACGTAAATCTTACCTGCATATTCCGAGCAAGCCATGAGAATTCAATATTACGACCAAAAGCTTTATACTTCAGTGACCATCGTGATAGGTCAGGCTGGTCTTCCAATATCTGTTTTTATATACCATATCAAATATCAATCTTTCAAAATGTGACGAAAACAAATCAAGTATCAATCTTTGAAAAATGAAAAAACTGAATCTTTAATCGGCCAACTTGAAATCATATCCGCTGCAACATTTTACTCTCGACTCTTGAGGAATCAGATCAGAGCAAATCAATTATTCCCTCACAATTAGCGAACTTTAACAACAAAATGTAGGCTGGGAAAGTATTGATACAAGTGATTATATCTCAATTCTCGAGTAGGCACTGACAAGAAAAATCAAATTTGCTTTGAATATCATCTAAAGAGTAGTAGGAGAGTAGTTTAGCACCTTCACGGTTGAAATAAAAGGCATCCAACGGGGAATCGCCTCACGATCAGAGTAACAATCATATGCAACGGAAATAGGCACATCAATTTCCATCTTTACTCTGCATTTGATCACATTGTCTAGTAATCAGTAGCAGTAAGTAAGGCTTTGATCACAAGCATGCTACACCTCACTCCAAGAACTAGTTCACATTCTTTATGGTTTTGCATTGTACTATAAAACTATTCCGAAAAAAAGATTAAGCATCGTAGGAATTCCCAAACATAAGAAACAGTTTCACTGTTTCATTACATATTGAATCAATAACTATTTGCTAATGGAGTAACGGGCTTGTAACTCAGTTGGTTAAGAGCACTTAACCCGAGCCCCGATCCACGATCCTAGGTTCGATTCCCCCCTCCCCACTATTGCTTGTACAAATAAAAAAACAAATAACAATTTGCTAATGTATAATCTGCCCAAGTAACCAAAACATAATTCCACATATTAATCCATGTTACCAATCGAACTACTTTCTGATAGCCATAATACTCAAATTGGGCAGCAAGAAAATAAATAAATAAATGAAAAATTTGGGAAGTTACGTGCAGTCCTGCCATTGCATAACGACGGGGGATGTACTTCTGAATCCAGTGAGGACGGAGCTCCGCCTGAAAGACCCACATGGGATCTTGGAGGAGAAGTCGCCGAGAGAAGACGGCGGCGGTGGTCTGAGAGAAGAGCTTCTCCAAATGGGTATGTGGGTGAGACTGCCGGGACAGTTGGGGCCGGAAATGTAGACTGATGCTACAGCAGTTGCAGAAGCACAAGACATGGTCAAACAAACAAAAGAATTAACGTTTTTTTGGTAGAAAAATTATAAAAGCAGAAAACACGGCGAAACCGAAAACCAACTAACGAGTTACTCGAGTCAACTCAGAAGACTGAAGACCACAAAATCATGATGACAGAGCCACCTCACCTGTCCGAGTTGTCCACCTCTCTTCTCTCAGGTGGTTGTTGCCACGGGACTCCAATTAGATGTGGGCCTGATTCAATCCAGCGAAAGGCCCGGGTCGAACACTTTGCTGCAACCCAACAGCATCTAAGGCCCCTTAGCCAGTGGTAATTTTTGCGTTGATAAGTTGATGGTACAAATTAAACAAATTATTCACTTTCGAGCAGTTCCATAACTATTTCGTTTTTAATTTTAAAATTTCTTTTCACTTTTTTTATATATATTTTTATTTTTATAACTATAAACTGAAACTTTGATGATAACTACTTTATTATTCATTAAAATTGTTATCAAACGAACCCCTAATAAGTGAATGTTTTCTTTTTTTGTATTCAAACGCTGATCTTGGTTGTTTCAAGTAAATCTACGATTAACAATATTGATTGAGCACAATTGCCTCTGATTCAACGAATTCTCGGTTTCTTTTTCTACTTTCAATATCCCTATGATTTCTTCTACAACATTTTTTTGACTAAATACTTTGTTTTTTTTTTACTTTTAGCTGTGGTGTTTTGACTTGACTCGACATCATATAATTCAATTAGAGTTGTATATGGATTCATATGGGTTGTTTATTTGCAACCCGCATATTTACATCAACCTCGCGTATTCCATGTTCATCCTTAAAAAGTAAGAAGTAGAGGAAGACACATCGCTCGAAAGAAGCCGAGGAAAGTCAAATAAAAAAAAATTCCTCCCATTTTCTATTCAATTTTCAAATCAATAGCCTACATAATTCCTCATTTTTCCATACAAAGACAACCTCTCTCACAGTCGCATATATCATTTCCCAAAGGATATGCCATTTATTTAAGACCCCCAAGGATGTATTGTGTTTGACAATAAAACTGATCAAAGGCTTCTCAACGATAAACGACAATGATAGTGTGGTCAATCATACAATTGTTAATTGTTGTCGGAATATCTACTAAACGAAAATTTGCTCCATCTTCTATTCAATCTTTATGTGGGTTTTAGAAATAAGTTTCTTTTAAAAATCTTATGGAGACTATATAGTCATTTCATATTTATGTACAGAAAATTGTTATTAGCATTAAAAAATTCTTATTTTGTACTTCAAACTATTTTTATTTAAAAAAAAAAATACTCTTATGAGGAGCGCAAAATGAAAATTTTAAAGTGAAGTTTATAAGAAGTGAATGACAATAGTGTATTCTTGTAAATCTTGTTTTGAATTATTTAATTTAAAATGAGCTTAAAAATTTGAACTTTAAGCTTAAGGTAAACTTTATGATGATAGATGAATAAATGTTTGTATCATATATGATCAACCTCAAAGTTACCGAGTATCGGCCACCTGTAAAGCACCATGAACCTGTTGAAGCATTTTCGCTGGGGCACCCTTACCAAAATCGCACAAAACTAACCCCAAACAGGTGGGAGGCCACGACATGTGGTAGTCACTTACTAGTTATCCCTTAACCAATAGGAGATTTCCCTCCAACTTGAAAATCAATCACGACACGACAAGTGACAATATAATATTAACCCTAGTCAATCCCACATTGACTAGCTCATCAAAGTTTCTCCAACTTCACCTCTAAAAAGAGGAAACTTCTAT